CTTCCCTATCTGGGTGATCTTGGGACCTACGCTGCCTCATTTGTGAAGCGAGAATCCTAGTAGCATCTAACTCACAGGAACCAGAACCACCCCAGCAAAGAGTGCTTTGAAAGTATCTGTCGCCAGGTTCAGTGGCTCAGCCTGTAATACCAGCGCTTTGGGAGGCCGAGGTGAGTGGATTGTCTGAGCCCACGGGTTTGAGACCTGCCCGGGCAACTTGGTGAGACCTCATCTCTACAATAAATAAAAAATAATTAGCCAGGCATGGTAGCACATGCCTGTAATTCCAGCTACTTGGAAGGCTGAGGCGGAAGGATCTCCGGAGCTCAGCAGGTCGAGGATGCGGTGGCTGGGAGCATGCCACTGCACTCCAGTCTGGGTGACAGAGTGAGACTCCAACTCAAAAAAAAAAAAAAAAATGAAAGTATCTGTCAAAGAAACCATTCTGTGGGGTCAAGTTGTGAACAATTCTGCATTTCCTAGCAGGAAAACTTGAGGCTTCTTTATTCCCAACATCTTGCCGTCAATCAAATAAAGTCACTGTTTCCACACCAAGAACAGAACAGCTTTGGAACAATAGGTCCTCACCAGGCACAGGTGCCCAACTGCTCCTTAGATAGCGTGGAGCCCAGTGAGATACCAGGCTAACCCCCCATGTAGGGATGATTCAGCAAAGCAGAGGTCAGAGCATCTCCAGAACATTCTTACCTCTCCAAGTTCTCAGCTGCTAAAAACAGCTGAGCTTAAAGAGGCAGCTGGGCAACAGTCCCAGCCCAGAGCTATTCCTACTGTTTGCAAGGGTCCAAGTTCCAGGAAGGAGTCCCATCATTCCCTCTCTTCCTAGGTTGATCGCCTAGGGCAACCTGCCCTGGCCCTTTGAGATTAAATGGGGAATCAGAATGTTGTTTTTGTGGACATACATTCTGGGGGGAGAATATGATACCAATGATGACGGTGATGGTAACTAACATTTGTTGTGCATGTATTGGATGCCAGACACTGCTCTCTGTGCAACACTTGCATTGACGCATAGAAACCTCAGAACAACCCTGGAGGTAGACACCACAACCAACCTTACCGCAGAGAAAGAAACTGAGTCCTGGAGAGACAAGTAGCTCCTCTAAGAACAGACAGAAAGTGGCAGGGGTGGAATCCGAACCCAGACTTTCTTGCTCAAAGCTAAGGCTCTCTCTCCTGGACACTTGGCCTTGGAGTCTGGATTGTGAAGAGGAAGGAGGGAGGCAAGGAAACAAGCTCAAAACTGGGCTGTGATGGACGGGAGCACTGGACAGGCTCAGGTTTAACCGATGGTTAAATCAATTTATTTTCAACGAAACAGGTTTCATAGACTTCAGTACGGCAAATCATAAACCATGTTTCTTCATGGATTTTTTTGTTGAGATATATAGTTTGTGCTCACTTTTATTTATAAACACCAAAGTTCATAAAAGACTCACACCATAGTGCTTTAATTTTTCATCTTTATGTTAAAAAGTTTAAGGCAAAGCGATTTTGAAATTATTCATTTATCCACTAGCAGAGCAATAAAATCAAGCACCTGCTTACTTGAAATATGGTAAGACACACTTATTCCTATTTGCTCCCCTACTGCACCAACTTCTCCCCCATAAGATTTCACACTGGCAAAGTTGTTCTGCATTTCTATTCTCACAGGACCCTGTGAGCTAAGTCTTGGAAGACTTTCCTGAAGCATTTTCTCATAGCTCAGAAAACAAAAAGGATATACAGGATCATATTCTACCAGAAACTGAAACATTTTTAAATCAGAAAGACAGACTGAGTCTCAGGTACTCTTGTCTAGTAATTCCAGCTTCTCTGATTCTCCATACTTTTCTAAGCCCTAATTTAAAAGAAAACAAGATGTAAAAACAATGTACTTGTACCCTAGAGACTTGCCCACAGTCATGCTGTCCTTTGGCCTGTAGTCCCCCAGAGTGAATGCAGGGAAAATTCTCAGAGATCCCTACAAGAGAGAGGGGGGTACCACACACGAGGTCCTCACCAAGTCCCCAAACCTCATTTTGGCCAACTGTGTGAACTTGCCGTGCTATTGTCCTCGGATGGAAATGGGCAGCACACGGGCAACAGTGCAAGCACCCTGCTTGGATATGCCTCTCAGAGAGCATGTGCTGAGGCTGACAAGGGCTTCACATCTCATGGACACCTTCGTGTGCACCTACCAAGCCCAAGGGGATGAGGGTTAAGAACAGCAACCCGGAATTCTGAGGACATAAAGCCCTTCTCTGGAGCCACCTGCCTCTTCCCCTTCTGGGTTCTGTCTCCCAGGTATTTTTGCTGGAGCCACACCAGCAGAAGGTGGGTGAGGAATGCTTTCCCTCCATCTTCCTAACAAAACAGGCTGGTCATGCCAGCATTCCTCATCCGTGGACTCCCCACCGTGAGGAGCCTTTGGGTCAGATGTTCACACACTGCATTAAGAGCGTTACATTCTTTTTTTAGTCCACAAAATTATTATGAAAACAAACCAACAAAACATTACCTCTTGAAAGTTTTCCCTTGGATAATGACATGAAAAAATGATTCACATTGGAGCTTTCACAAGAAAACTCTTTATTGTCAGATTTCTGGTTTTCCAATGTTAGAATTCCTAGTGTTCATGTACTCTGGGGTGTGTGTGTGTGTGTGTGTGTGTACATACATATACATAATTTAGTTAAAATATGTACAGTTAAAATATAGTTATAAACAGCCAATGAGCAAGGTTCCAGTGAGTGCTTCCAGCAATGCTGTCAATTCTGAGCGGCACCTGCTCCAAGAACCATCCCAAAGCTAGCAAGACAGTCTTCTGCTGACTTCCTGTGGCCAGTCAGGACACAGAGACAAGCGGCCTTCCCTATGGCAGCTGCCATCCACCCTGAGCAAGAGCCAACAGCCACATCACAGTCCCTCGCCCGCAGCCAACCAGGTTAAGAAAGAAAAGCCTGAGGTTTTAAGACGGATTGAGAGAGGCAAAGGGCTCATCAGGTAGCGGTAAATGTAAGTGGCATCACGATGTGCTACCATTTAGCCAAGTCTCATACAGTCTTGCAACACAAAAGCTTCTGCCTTGCCTTTTTTTTTAAATGAATGTCACTTTAAAACAATAAACTTCACACTAAAGAGTCGCCTTTTTACGCATCAGCTAGACAATGATCACGGCACGCCTGCAACACAGAACTCTGGCTTGCGCTGTCACTTCACGTCAGGCGCTCGGCTGCGGCCCGCAAGGTGTTCGGCTGTGAGCGCGAGGAAAGCGCCGCTGAATCCCAGTTTGGGTTTCCGTTCGGATCGCCTGCTTTCCCACGGACGAGCAGCCGCCGCCTATCACCGAGCCACCCGCCCTCGGCCAGCAGACAATACGGGCGAGGTCTGCAGAGGACGCCCTGCGTGGGTGTGGGTGTGGGTGGGGTCGTGGCACCGGGGAGGCGCCGGTCCCGGCAGCGGCTCCGGAGTCCAGAGCCTCACCCTCGCGCGCGTCTCCACCCCCGCGCCCCCTC